TTTATGGCTGTGTTGGGTCTTCATTTCTGTGCATGGGCTTTCTCTAGTTGTGGCAAGTGGGGGTCACTCTTCATCGCGGTGCGCAGGCCTCTCACTATCGCGGCCTCTGTTGTTGCGGAGCACAGGCTCCAGACGCGCAGGCTCAGTAATTGTGGCTCACGGGCCCAGTTGCTCCATGGCATGTGGGATCTTCCCAGACCAGGGCTCGAACCTGTGTCGTCTGCATTGGCAGGCAGATTCTCAACCACTGCGCCACCAGGGAAGCCCCCTCAGTGAGTCTTATACATATTTTAATCTGTATTAATCTTGCATTACATCTGTGTACTTCATACTTTATCAAAGATGGTTGTCAAGTTTTAAGAGTCCTCTTAGAAGTCCTGTGTTCTTAGAAACAGTCCATGTTGGAACTTCCCTGGTGGTCTAGTGGTTAAGACACCATGCTTCCAATGCAGGGGACATGGTTTCAATCCCAGGTCAGGGAACTAAGATCCCATATGCCACGCGGCCAAAAAATAAATAAATAAAAATAAATAAAAAAGAAAAAGAAAGAAATAGTCCATGTATTTCTGAAGATAAGTGTTTAAAGTTTAGAATGGGTCATCATCATACCTTGTAAATCTGTTTCTTGTCTACTCATTGCTTTCAGAAGCAGGTATTTTATAGTGGTAGGTAATGGTGTAAAAGCTGTCTTTGAAAATGTTTGTCCTAATAAAGTGCTTGCAGGGAGTTTCACAGGATTAATAAGCTAGAGAAGCATGGTAGCTGGGTGAAGAGCTGCTCAGAGCTGCAGCCAGCTACTCTTCCACCGAGTTTGGCTTGCACTCTCCAAAGGCTCTGGGTCAATAGCAGTGTAGAGACTCATTACTTACCATGGGTTCACCCTCTTTCCCCTCCTCCCTGGATGTTCGCAGTAGGAGTTTGCCACCAGGCATCTGTGAACCTCCTGAAATTGCTGAATTGACTGAGCTTGGTGCATTTCTCTGATGAGCAAGTTTAAAACTTTGGTCAGCTCTTTTTAATAGGCTCCTAGCCCAAAAATACAAAAGCAACAACCATGGAAAATAAAAGATATGGTTCTAAATTAGTGGACTCTATAACTGTGATTTCCATCCCTAGCAAAACATTGGAGTCACCTGATAACCTTTTTTTTAAGATCTAAAGAGAGAATCCTGGGACCTACTTTGGACTTAGGAAATTAAAATCTCATGCATGGGGACCGGGGTCAATGGTTCTTAAATTGTCTCTAGTAAAAGGCCACTTTATTCTCTTTCATTTCCAATGTGTCATAAACCGATACCAATACTTTTCTAAAATACAGTAAAATTAGTTACTAGAAAAATGATTGCACACTTGGATGTCATGGCAATGTCACATAGCCATATCAAAGAAAATAGTTTCTAAACTTAGTCTATGTTTCTGTACTCCTCTTGTCTGGTAAAAGAGGCCATCTTGTCTGGCAGATGGGCCAGATCCATAGTTCATACTTTTGAGTAGTAGCACTACTCTGAGGACCTGCCAGGCTCAGGAACCACTGCTCTTTAGGACATAAATACAGGCTGGTTGCCACCCACTAGACCAGACTCATAAAATTTTACAAACAATTTTAAGGGAGTTAATGGATTCCAGAAGCTATGAATGGGCTCAAGTCAGTGGATTAGATTAAGTGCTTGCTACTCAATAAATAGTCTGTTGTTTTTTTTTTAAACAGAATATTGTTGAAATATCAATTATAAACTATAGAGCCTGATGAATATTTTCTCCAGAATCTTTTGATTTAAGATGTCATGATACAGAATAATACAGTATAGATAGGGAAGTTGGATTGTATTTGAAATTTCAGGGTTGAGTTGATTTGTTACTTGTCCAAAAAAGTAAGAGTGGATTACAGATGGTATCCAAATGTTTTTTGTTTTTGTTTGTTGGTTGGTTTATTTATTTATTTATTTTCGCTGCGTTGGGTCTTTGTTGCTGTGCACGGGCTTTCTCTAGTTGTGGTGAGCGGGGGCTACTCTTCGTTGTGGTGCACGGGCTTCTCATTGCAGTGACTTCTCTTGTTGCGGAGCACAGGCTCTAGGCGCGTGGGCTTCAGTAATTGTGGCACGTGGGCTCAGTAGTTGTGGCTCACGGGCTCTAGAGCATAGGCTCTGTAGTTATGGCACATGGGCTTAGTTGTTCCGCGGCATGTGGGATCTTCCTGGACCAGGGATCGAACCCGTGTCCCCCGCATTGGCAGGCAGATTCTTAACCACTGTGCCATCAGGGAAGTCCCCAGTATCCAAATGTTTTAATGTTCAGGGGGAGATAGCATGGAGAGAAGAGAAATTAAATTGAGTCTGCACTAGTGCAAGTTGGGTGACTGATGATTTCCTGCCACCTACAAGGGGTCCTGATACGAAATTGGAAAATGTCCTTTAAAAATCTGACCACCATATGGCTTAGGCCATGGCTAGACAGATGCATTTGAGCACTTGTAGAGAGCTCAGTAGAGATCATGAAAATGAATGAACTTGCTGGAAAGTGTGTGATAGAACCAGAGACTTAACCTTAAGGACATTCATATTGGTCAGGAATGGTGAAGAGACGCATCTGAGGAGGAAAGAAAACATAAGAAACTTTCTGCCTGCAATGAAATAACCTAGGTTCGTTGGTCCTCAGTTGAAGAGGGTGGTTTCGGTTCACACACATTTATCAACTGCTTCTCATATCCCAGTCAGGAGACAACAAGGCTTTAGTTGGACCTGGTGTAAGCAGCTACGGGGCATGTGCTATAGGTGAGGTACACACACATTACCATAGAGCTCCTGGGAGCAAGAGGTCTGGGGAGTGTTTATGGAGGGAGCCTTGATGAATGAGTACAATCTGGACATTAGGAGAATAGGATAAAATAGTGTTCCTAGAGAGATGTTGATTTGAACAACAGAATGGAGATAAATATTTAAGGAATGACTTGTCTGGCATCCATCCATCCATCCATCTGTGCGCTTACTTAGTGTGTTCATTTGAAGTATCTAGTAATTGAATGAGACTGGAGTGAAGGGTGTGGAGAAGGGAACTGTGGGGTGTGTCCCAGTTTGGTGGTGGCTGGGAGGCTGAGAAGTTTGGCCTGTGTTTGGTCGGCAGTGGAGAATCGCTGAGCACTGGCTGTACTTTATGAAGACTGAGCCAGTGAAAGAGGGGGTGGAGGTGTGGAGTGGAACCAACTAGAGACAGGCAGAGTTTGGGTGAGAGTTAACCAGGATTGTGACAGTGGGAATGAAAAGAAAGACCTAGATGGAAGGAACTGTAGGACAGCTCATGGAATGGACCATCAAGAGATTGATTTAGGGGGCCTTCCCTGGTGGTGCAGTGGTTAAGAATCCACCTGCCAGTGCAGGGGACACGGGTTTGAGGCCTGGTCCGGAAGATCCCACATGCCGTGAAGCAACTAAGCCCGTGCGCCACAACTACTGAGCCTGCGCTCTAGAGCCCACGAGCCACAACT